TCAAGCAGCTTTTATGTGCAGTGAGCACAATTCCTGGGGTCCAGTGATTACGGAAACTAAGTCTTTGTCCTCATGAAGTTTATAATGTAGCAAGTAAACTAGAATGAGATTGGTTTTGAAGAATTCAACATGCAGGTGGGGTCTCCTTTAAAGAAAAAAAAGAGAGAGTTAAAATATTGAAATTTATCAAAAAGAGCTTCTTATGACCAAGAGTCACTCCCACGCACCCACAAATTAAGTATAAAGAATGGGCACAGTTTAATTTGGCAAATGCAAATTTAAAAGCAGGGGTTGTAATATGAATATAATAAAATGAAATTCATGGCAAAAAGCAAGACATTTTATATTGATATAGGCTACAATCCTCTAAGTCAATAAAAAAAGTTATGAGTCTTTATGCTTCAAAAGCAATGCGTCAAAAGATGTAAAGATCTGAAGCAAACACTCCCAGAAAACAAAAAGAATAGACACAAAATAGTAAAGGGAGATTTTCACACAGTGCTCTCTTGAATAGATCAAATAGACCAAAACTTCCAAGAATATAGATTTATTTAATGGATGTATAAAAAGACATTTTACCATTCAAACAGAGAATATACCTCCTTTTCTAGTACCTGTGAAACATTTATAAAAGTTGAATATATGTTTTATCAAAGAGAAAATTCTCAATAAATATCCCAAAGCAAAAAACATGTAGGGCATATATTTCACTATACTGCAATACAATTAGAAACTAATAGCAAATGGTTGCCAAAAAAATACAACAACAAGAAAATTTAAAAACACTTTCTAAAAGAAAAATAAGCAACTGACATTAGAAACCAATGACAATGATACTACAAATGGAAACGGGATATCCCCAAAGGTCTATCAGAAGAAAGTTCACAGCCTGGAGTGCTTTGCTTACTAAACAAGAAAGAGTAAAAATAAATAAGCATTCAATCCAAGAGTGGTAGAGTGGAGAGGAAATAAAATAAACGTAAACAAAAAGAACAGATTTAATGAAGATATAGCAGAAAGTGTATTTGAAAAAGCAAATCCCAGAGCTAGTTTTTTTAAGAGCAATAAAATGAACAGACTTTTGCAACACTGATCAAGAAGAGAGAGAGAAATCATGAACACATAACATGAGGCATGAGAAAGGGGATAAAACAAATACATAGATTTTAAAAAGTAACTGAATAACTGTATATAACACTCTACTAATGAATCTGAAAAGGTCCAAATTTATATGTCAAAGTACCAAAATTAAGGAGAGAGAGAACATGTGAAGGAACAAAACCTACCTAGAAGGATTTACCAGTAAATTAAATATCAAGAACCAGCTAATTCATGTTTCATAAATTAATGGATGCATGTACAATAGGTGGATGGAAGAAGGGATGAATAAATGACTGGATAGACGGAGAGATGGATGGATGAATAGGGCCTCAATATGTAGAATTGGAGATTGGTAAAGGGGCCAAGGATGGAGGAGGGAAGAAGAGAGTTTTATGAGTGGCTAAGGCTGATGCTTGACCTCCAGCCAAAACAATCTTGGCCTGCACCCACTCGGCCTGGCAGAAATCCCTTCCAAAAGTCCTAGGTTTGGACCATGGTGGTGGCTGACTCCTATAATCCCAATGCTTTGGGAAGCCAAGTCTGGAGGACTGTTTGACCCCAAGAGTTCAAGATCAGCTTGGGCAAGATGGCGAGATCCTGTCTCTACTTTTATGAATAAAATATAAAACAGAAATCCCAGGTTTGGTCTTTCCTGAAACTGACAAGCCCTGCATACAGGACTAGAAGGCCAGTCATCACAGGCTAATCCAGACAGATCAATTAAACCAGGAGAACCAGAAAGCCTGACAGTGTCCAAGCTCTCCTAGTGACTTGCCCTTCCCTCCCCAGCCCTCTGTTTCCTCCCCAGGAGCTCGCAGGTGCAGTCTCTCCAGGGGGCAGTGAGAGCCATGAATAGTAAGGGTTTTAGCTCAAGCACACAGAGGCGTTTAGCTGCCCAAACCTAATCCCCCAATAATCGGCTTATGTAAATTCCTACTTCAACCCCTTCCCCTGCAGGTCCTAGCCCCGAAATTCTCTACATTGGGAGACTGGCATGGGAGAGGACCCATCATTCTGAAGGATCACTGCTAGTGGAATGATGCAGCAAAGATTGTTTCCCCTGCTTCTAAAAGCATAAAACCAACAATAACATTTAAGAACGTTTTGAAAAGGAAAAAACCATCAACCCTGGTCCTAGGATGTCAACACAGTCGTGCTCCTTTCTCTGTAGCCCTTGTCCTTTCTCTGAGTCCTTGTCCACTTGCACACAGATCCTATTTGACAGCTTATTGTTTCGTTTAGCATCATCCATTTCCAATCTTGCTATACTGTTACCACGATTCTTTTTCTCAGCTGTAAAATATGCCATTGAAGAAAATATTATCACCTTACAGTTTTTGGCTAAGGTGAAGATTAATACAGGTTATTGCTTCAAAATGTAACATTTGCTGTATTAGAACTGCCATATAGGGAGAACAGAGGAGCAGAAAGAGGAGCAAATCAGGGAAGCTTATTGCAAATATTAGTTTTTGTAGTTGTTGTTTGTTTGTTTTTCGAGATGGAGTCTCTGTTGTGCAGGTTGGAGTGCAGTGGCGTGATCTCGGCTCTCTGCAACCTCTGCCTCAAGCAAAGTGATTCTCATGTCTTAACGTCCCGAGTAGCTGGGATTACAGGTGCGCGCCACCACACCTGGCTATTTTTTGTATTTTTAGTAGACATGAGGTTTTACCATGTTGGTCAGGTTGTTCTCAAACCCCTGACCTGAGATGATCCACTTGCCTCGGCCTCCCAAAATGCTGAGATTACAAGCGTGAACCACCGCACCTGGCCTTAGGTTATGTTTCTAAAGATCCCTTTTTACCAACTAATTTTCCCCAATCCACCCTCCAATCCCTCCTCTATACTGCCACCAGAATGAGTCTTGCGACCTGTAACTAAACATACTATTCCCATGTTCAAAGCACACAGTTGTATTTGTCTGGGCTGCCCTCTCCTCCACCCCTACACTTGTATTATAATTCCTACCCAGTCTTCACCACCCTTCCACCGGGCACCCAGCAGTCAGAGCTCCTGCCCTGGACAGTGTACTTTTAGATGGCCCTGCTCTGGCCCTCCTCCAGTGCTCACCCAACCCCCATGCCCCACCTCTAGAACATATTCTGGGAATCTGGGACCCCTGAATTTCTGTTCAAATGACCATGAGCCCATTTCCAGGGCCTGGATAAGGCTATTCCCTAGGCCCATGTGGGCTGGGAGTTCACATCATATTCACAAGACCCTTCACAGAAGAGGACAGAGCTAGCGGGTGGGAAAAGAATGGGGATGGGGATGGAGTCTCCATTTGTACCCTTATCATGGCCCCCATAAATGTCAGAGCCACCCTTGCTTCAAGGCCTAGTTTAAATGCCATCTAACCCATGAGTAACCTCTGATCCCCCAGCTAGAATCTTCTACCTCTCCATCCCTAACTCTAATTTCACACTCTCGCATTCAGGACTGTCTGTCTTATATTAGTCATGTTGTCATGTCTTCTCCCTTCCAATAGCTGTTAGTGCCTTGAAAATAGATACAGAACTTTCCTCACCTTCATGCCCACCTCCCCATCCTACCCCACTCCCCGCCTACCACCATAACCTAGCAATTTATGCAACACCGTTTTAATTTATAATGAAACTGTATTGTTTGTTTTGGAGGTGGGTAAGATGGGTGGTGGTGTGACAACCCCAAAGTCTCAGTGACTTACAACAATAAAGATTTATTTCTCACTCATGTTATATGGTTGGTTGCGGGTTTGCTCCATGGTGTCCAGTCTGCATGAGCAACCCCAAACCAACTGTCTCATAGCTGAGCCCATCCAGCAATCCCAACGAGTCTTGCTCTATCCCCAGGCTGGAATGCAGTGGCACGATCTCGGCTCACTGCAACCCCTGCTTCCCAAGTTCAAGCGATTCTCCTGCCTCAGCCTCCTGAGTAGCTGGGATTACAGTCATGCGCCACCATGCCCAGCTAATTTTTCACTTTTTTCAGTAGAGATAAGGTTTCACCATGTTGACCAGGCTGGTCTCAAACTCCTGATCTCAGGTGATCTGTCTGCCTTGGCCTCCCAAAGTGCTGGGATTACAGGTGTGAGCCACAGCGCCGGGTCCAGCAATCCCTTGTAAAGCTTCTGCTCCATCAAGATCAACGTTAGGGCTGCTCACATTCTATTGGCTGATGCAAGTTGTATGGTCAAGCCTGGCAATGGGGCAGGGAAGTATAGTTCCTCCACTTACAGGGAGGTGCTGCCAATCACATGGCAGTGAGTGGGGCTATATTATCCTCTCCCAGGGAAGGGAGCCAATAGTTGTTAACAATAATACAGTGGACCACAATAAAATTTACAATATACCAACTGTGTGCTAGGCATACTGCTAAATGCTTTACCTACCTTTTTCTCATTTAGTCCTCACAATTCTGTCATTGTCCCCATTTTACAGATAAGGACTAAGGCAAGCATAAATTCTATAATTTGCCTAGGATCACAAAAGTGAATAGACAAGGAATTTCCACCCGGGTAATGTAACTCCAGAGCCCTTTGCTCTTATCCACTAAGCTGCAATTCATTTGTGAATTTATTGTGCCAGGTCCTATACCAGATCTTTCAGAGAGAGTGGTACCTGGGAATTCATTACTTATTCATTCATTAATTAACATTTGATGAACACCTATTCACTGGGAGTAGATGGGGTGGGGAAAGGCAGAGAAGATAAATAAGTAAATATTACTAAGTGGGGATAAGTGTTAAGAAGAATAAAACAGAAGGATGAAGACTGTGTGTGTGTGTGTGTGAAGGAACAATTTTATTTATTTATTTATTTTAAAGAGATAAGGTCTCACTATGTTGGCCAGGCTGGAGTGTTGTGGCTACTCACAGGTGCGATCATAGTGCACTACAGCCTCAGACTCCTGGCCTCAAGTGATCCTCTTGCCTCAGCCTCTGGAGTAGGTGGGATTACAGGCTCACCACCACGCCAGACAGACGGTGCAATTTTAGATATTGTGGTCAGAGACTTCACTGAGAAGGTGCCATCTGAATAAAGACCTAAAGAATGTCAGCTCCTTGAGGGCAAGGACTTTTATCTGTTTTGTTTGAAGTTGTGTCCCCAGGAATTAGAACAGGGCCTGGCTCATCGTAAGCTCTCGGTAATTGTTGAACGAATGAAAGGAGGTTAGGGAGGGAATCGTGGATAACTTGGGGGAAGAGTGTTTAAGGCAGAGGAAACAGTGAAAAGTGAAAAGACTCTGAGGTGAGTTCCTGAAACAACAAAGAGACCAAAGTGGCTAGAGCTGAGTGAGCCCCAGGGAGAGAAGAGACAGACAGCTCAGAGGGATAAAAGATATCCCTGGTCTCATTATAAAGGCTTCGGCATAAGTCAGTGAAATGGAGAGCCACTGCGGGATTTTGAGCAGAGAAGTGACCAGAATCTGACTTGTGTTTTCATAGCATCATTCTGGATGATGTTGGAGAATAGACAGAAGGAGGCAAGTCCAGAAGCAGGAAGACCAATTAGAAGTCCCCTCCCTCAATGAAATAATCAATATTAGTGCTGGGCACTGTGCAAACTGAAATGGATAAATTCGGGAACCTACCCAGTACAGTGACTGTTAAATTCTGCAGTGCATCTTAATCTCCTGAAATACTTAGGTTTTAAAAATGCAGATTTCAGACCCCACCCCCACCTCCGAAAAATCCTGATTTCATGGGTTTGGGTTGTGGGTGTTGGGATCCTCCTTCCCCACCTGTGATTCTGAAGCAAGCGGTTCCTGAACTCCAGTTAGAGGCTCACTGGCGCTTAATAAGCATCTGATGAATTAACAACGGATACGGACTTTCCCAGGGTTGAATGTGTTGGAGAAGGAGGTTAGTAAGCGGCTCCCCCAGCCCAGGTGGGTAGCAGGACCCCCTTACCGCCCCCAAGCCTCACACAAGGCGGGGCTCTCCTTCCTCCCTTGCTCCCTTTCCAGGGCACAAGAGAGGGCTGGTCTCGGGAAGCCCGGGCGCGGGGAGTGGGGAGGAACCGGTGGGAGTCCCTGTCGGGAAAGGGCCCCCGGGCCCCGCGAGACAAAGGGCGGTGTCCTATAAAGGCGGCGGCGGCGCGGCGTCCAGGCGAGGGCGCACACGGCCGGCGAGGGCGACGGCGACGGCGCGGGCTCTTTGCGAGGAGGTGCGTGGACTCCGGGGGTACGTGGGCGCCACCAGGGCCGGGCTCGTGGGCCTGCGGGTCTCTCGCTGAGCCACACTCACCCGGGAGAGCAGGAGTGCGGCCGAGACTTGGTAGCAGCCACCAAGCCAATTCGATGAGAAGACCCGGGGACCTTCCGCGGGGCAGGGGCGGTGACTCGGGTGCTAGGCCGACTCTCTAGCGTGTTGGCGGGGCCGCGTCGCTTTTATGCGTGATGCCGCGTACCCACTTATACCGCGCCCGACAGCGCGTCTCCCAGAGCCCTTCAAGGAGCTCGCGCATCCCTGAGCGACTCCCGGACACCTGGCAGATTCGAAACTTCAGCCACGAGATGCTTTCCTAGACTCCCTAAATACTTAGTCATTAGGCAAGGCAATGGTTTGCAAGGGGGAGCAAACGTTATAATAAGAAAAACGGAAACGCCTGGAAGCGAAGCGGGCAAGGGAAGAAGGTTGGGCAGGTATTCGATGTGCGTCCAGGCTGCACGGTGCAGGGATTGGGTGCATCTTAGAACAGGTGGCTTCCCCCAGCGTGAGGCTACCGGGAACGGCGCTGAAGAGCAGAATTCATACTGTGTGCTGCTGATTTAATATATCAACATGCAGAGTTGTGTGAGAAAAGTGACTTGCATAATATATATGGTGATTTTAAAGGGTGTGTGTGTGTATGTGTGATACACACACCAACTGGCTGCGGCTGGGGAGTGAGACCGAGTAGCTAAACAGGTAGGGAGCCTTTTATGCTTTACTTCAGGCACATGTGTATGCTTGATTTTCTTTTCTTAAATGAGCTTGTATTACTTCTATACTAACTTCAAAAGGCAGAGCTGTGCCTCATATTGGAGGTTAAGCACTATTCCCCAATCTAACTATATAAACCACCCTTCATGGCGAGTATTTTCACTTACTTTCAAGAGAAAGGTGAAAGAAGAGACAAATGCACTGGACCAAATGCCAGGAAGATAAATGTAAAGCTGAATGAAGAAAGAGCTGCATGTGTGTGAATGCCTGGGACAGGCCCCCCAGTGTTAGCCGGGAACCTGTGCTGCACCCTTTCTGGTGAACCCGGGCTTCGTGTCCAGGAACCCCTGGCACAAAAAGTAGCAGCTCCGGTTAGGGGCATTGGTCACCTTGGGGGAGTGTGTCCTTCTTTTCTTTGCTAATGTGTTACCTTCAGTAGCGACAATATAAACAGAGGATTTATGCGTGTCTATGTTCCTGGTGTTTCTACCTGACTTTCCTCCAACCCAGGCATTCTTAACGTGGGGTACCCAACCCCCATCCACCCAGGGATATAGAGATAGAATGCAGGGGTGCTATGAATTTGGATGGAGAAAAATTACGTCTTTACTTCCACTAACCTTTCATCTAAACATAGCATTTCCTTTATCTATGAATGTGGGTAATAAACTGTAGTAGTATTAGCTGTGGTGGTGAATTTGTCACCAATAGAAATCATAGATGCATGCATTTCATGTCACAGATGTTGCAGATCTTTTGAAAACATCATTTACATATCACTTTTTAGAGATTATCGTAATAAGTCTAGTTATTTAATGTGTTAAATATGAAGCACATGTATTGCTATATTGTATTTTATTTTAATAACTCCTAAATATAATTGGTTATTTTCTGTGTCTATGTATTTTAATTTATGGACTTAAAATAATTATTCTGAGATGAGAACCAAAGCCTTTTTACTTTATGTATTTAAAAATCATTGTTCTGAAAATGAATCTGTCCCTAGGCTTCCCCAGACTCCTAGAAGGGTCCATGGTACAAAAAAGGTTATGAACCCTGACCCGGCAGGAGTCCTCAATGGTGACATAAATGCATCAATATCCAGGCCTGGGACACATGCTATACCACTGATTCCCTGTGTGGCCTAAATGCTTCACCTCTGTTTTGGCATCTATCAAATGTTCTTCGATTCTGTGGCATCTAGTCTTTTTTTTTTTTTTTTTTTTTTAGCTCTTACATTACTCTGAGATCAAGATTAGCAGCAATCAGTCCTTGTGACTGGAAAAACACTAAATGCAGTTTTCTTTTGATTTAATAAGTACTTCAGTAATTTTCCAGTGACCTCTGCTTTGAGCTTTTCCAGCTTGTTAAACCACTGATTTCTGTTTCCCCTTTGGAGAAGGAGACGAACACACTTGAGGATAAATCAACAAGGAATGATTAAGCACCTCCTAGGATGGAGACTACATTTTAGAAGCCAGTTTTCTCTGTCTTTTTTGTTTGTTTGTTTGTTTGTTTTTCTGTCTGTTTCTAGTACAATAGGATAGAGCCCTCTTAGAAAAGAACACCACAGTTAGTTTATCCTGCCTAATCTTTTTTCCTCCCAGCTTGAAAAAGACCCCCCATGGGACTATGGTTGACTTAGTGAATGAGCTAAACCCTCTTTTGATAAGAGAAGCATGAATGTAACTTTGCTGCCACAATCCTGGCCAGCGTCAGTGTGAACAAAACTAGATAGTTTTCTACCTTAAAATCCCCTTGATTCAGGTTCAAACTTTTATATTTTAGGTATAGTTGGGTATAGTTCTGACAACACTCAGGTTTTCATTGTAGAACCAAAGGTCAGATTATTCAGAAATGACTTAGGTTAGATAAAAGGCGATGGGGCCAGACATAGTGGCTCACGCCTGTAATCCCAACACTTTGGGAGGCCAACGCAGGTGGATCACCTGAGGTTAGGAGTTTGAGACCAGCCTGGCCAACGTGGTGAAAACTCATCTCTACTAAAAATACAAAAAGTAGCTGGGTGTAGTGGCGGGCACCCGCAATCCCAGCTACTTGGTAGGCTGAGGCAGGAGAATCACTTGAACCCGTGAGACGAGGTTGCAGTGAGCCGAGACTGTGCCACGGGAGGTAGAGGTTGCAGGGAGCAACAAGATTGGCCACTGCACTCCAGCCTGGGCAACAGGAGCAAAACTCTGTCAAAAAAAAAAAAAAAAGGAAATGGGCGGGGCATTGTAGCATTTCTGAGTAGAATGAGGTCCTGGGGATCACCTGGCCCACCCCTTTCAGTTTTGGAAGGCTACCTGGCCTGTCTGGGAGCCCGCTAGAATGCCTGGCTAGCTGGTGCTTCTCTGCTCCTGCAGTCGCAGTGCTTCCCTCACACGTTAATACTATCAGCCAGCTCCTCAGCACTCAGCAGCAAGCACAATACCTGGCTCAGTTATCGGCAAATGTTGGTCCCAAAGCTTGGAGTGCATAAGCACCTCCTAGGATGGAGACTACATTTTAGAAGCCAGTTTTCTCTGTCTTTTTTGTTTGTTTGTTTGTTTGTTTTTCTGTCTGTTTCTAGTACAATAGGATAGAGCCCTCTTAGAAAAGAACACCACAGTTAGTTTATCCTGCCTAATCTTTTTTCCTCCCAGCTTGAAAAAGACCCCCCATGGGACTATGGTTGACTTAGTGAATGAGCTAAACCCTCTTTTGATAAGAGAAGCATGAATGTAACTTTGCTGCCACAATCCTGGCCAGCGTCAGTGTGAACAAAACTAGATAGTTTTCTACCTTAAAATCCCCTTGATTCAGGTTCAAACTTTTATATTTTAGGTATAGTTGGGTATAGTTCTGACAACACTCAGGTTTTCATTGTAGAACCAAAGGTCAGATTATTCAGAAATGACTTAGGTTAGATAAAAGGCAATGGGGCCAGACATAGTGGCTCACGCCTGTAATCCCAACACTTTGGGAGGCCAACGCAGGTGGATCACCTGAGGTTAGGAGTTTGAGACCAGCCTGGCCAACGTGGTGAAAACTCATCTCTACTAAAAATACAAAAAGTAGCTGGGTGTAGTGGCGGGCACCTGCAATCCCAGCTACTTGGTAGGCTGAGGCAGGAGAATCACTTGAACCCGTGAGACGAGGTTGCAGTGAGCCGAGACTGTGCCACGGGAGGTAGAGGTTGCAGGGAGCAACAAGATTGGCCACTGCACTCCAGCCTGGGCAACAGGAGCAAAACTCTGTCAAAAAAAAAAAAAAAAGGAAATGGGCGGGGCATTGTAGCATTTCTGAGTAGAATGAGGTCCTGGGGATCACCTGGCCCACCCCTTTCAGTTTTGGAAGGCTACCTGGCCTGTCTGGGAGCCCGCTAGAATGCCTGGCTAGCTGGTGCTTCTCTGCTCCTGCAGTCGCAGTGCTTCCCTCACACGTTAATACTATCAGCCAGCTCCTCAGCACTCAGCAGCAAGCACAATACCTGGCTCAGTTATCGGCAAATGTTGGTCCCAAAGCTTGGAGTGCATAGTATTGTAATTGATCCGTGGGTCCAACTAGGAATGTCTTCAGGGAGAGAGGATGTGGGTGCAAGCGGACAGTGTGGGGAGCTGGAAGCCATGCGGTGACCTTGTGCTGCTGTGCTTCCAGTTCACCATGAATTTGCAGCACAGCACTGGACTCTCCAACCCAGACACAAGCAGGAAAGGCAACAAGAAAGGAACTGGGATGGGGAAATATCCAGGGGACATAGAGGTGATTGAAAAATGCCGTTGGCGCAGTGGTTCACCCATAATCCCAGCAATTTGGGAGGCTGAGGCAGGAGGATTGCTTGAGCCCAGGAGTTCCAGGCCAGCCTGGGCAACATAGTGAGACCCTCTCTCTACCAAAAATGTTTTTCTTAAAAAGGAACAAAAAGAAAGAAAAATGCTTTTCTTTGCAACAATGATGCTTTCCATGTGTATAGGGAGGAAATTGCTACATTTATTTAGCATCTATGTGCCAGACACTTTATAATGCGTTTCGTGTAATCCTCACAAAAGTCCTGCTGATGGCTGTATCTCCCTCCGTTTTCCAGAGAAGAAAACCGAGGCTTCGAGAAGTTAAACGATAACTAGGACATCGAGAGCAGAGATTCAAAGCTGGATGTTTCTGCTCTAAAGCCCATAAGCATTTAAAACATTTCTTCTGTTATGAAGCAAATAATACATGAATAATTTATTATAAAAATATAAAACAGCTGGGCACAGTGGCTCACGCCAGTGAGCATCTCCAGGCCCCCCGGATGTTTCCCCATTCCAGTTCCTTTCTTGTTGCCTTTCCTGCTTGTGTCTGGGTTAGAGAGTCCAGTGCCGTGCTGAGAATAATCCCAGCACTTTGGGAGACCGAGGCGGGCGGATCATGAGGTCAGGAGATCGAAACTGTCCTGGCCAGAGTGGTGAAACCCCTTTTCTACTAAAATTACAAAAAATTAGCTGGACCTAGTGGCGTGCGCCTGTAGTTCCAGCTACTAGGGAGGCTGAGGCAGGAAAATCGCTTGAACCTGGGAGGCAGAAGTTGTGCCTCCCAAGAAGTGAGCCGAGATTGCACCACTGCACTCCAACCTGGCGACAGAGTGAAACTCCGTCTCAAAAAAAAAAAAAAAAAAAAAAAAAAATATATATATATATATATAAACAATACAAAAAAAGAATAAAACACCACAAGTCTCTCTTTTTTCTCTTCTCCCAATCTACTGTCCTTCCCCCAAGGAACCACTGTTGACAGTTTGGCCTGAATCCTTCCAGGTTTTTGGTCTACACACACACACACACACACACACTCCGCCATATATTCCTGTAAAGTGAATCAAAAGAGCACATAAACAAAGCTCAGACCTTCTCTAATGCATGACAACGTCTTCATTAGGAAGAAAATGATAAATTACAACATTTACTTTTCTCTGTTTTATTTGTAGAGATAATAATTGCAATCATTAATTTTTTTTTTTTTTTTGAGACAGTCTCGCTCTGTTGCCCAGGCTGCAGTGCAATGGTGCGATCTCGACTCATTGCAACCTCCACCTCCTGGGTTCAAGTGATTCTTCTGTCTCAATCTCCTAATTGGCCCTGACTACAGGCATGCGCCACCACGCCCTGCTAATTTTTTTGTATTTTTAGTAGAAATGGAATTTCACCGTGTTGGCCAGGCTGGTCTTGAACTCCTGACCTCAGGTGATCTGGCCCCCTTGGCCTGCCAATGCTCTGGGATTTCTGGTGTGAGCTACTGAGCCCCGCCAATCATTAAATATTTATTGAGCCTTTACTATGCACCAGACACTGAGCTAAGGTACTTTTTGTGTATCATTTTATGTGTCCTCCCAATGATGCAGTACTCCTGAACTGCTCTTTACTTATGAGGCATTTGAAACACAGAGAGGTTAAGTAGATTGCTCAAGGTCACACAGCTAGGGGGAGTAGAACCAACAGCCAAACCAGGGTTCTGGCCTTGGAGCGAGCCTGTGCTCTTGACCACCATGCACATGGTTCCACCGATGGCTGAGTTATGTGAAGACTCCTGTAGAGTCAGGGCTTGGTGGTAGGAGAAGATCTGGCCTGCTCTTTAAAGAAATAGGTAAGTAGAGAGTGGGGAGGAAATTCAAGGAACAGAAAATGACACCGTGCAAAAGGGTAGAGTTGGGAATATTCATGAGTCTTTGGAGGAACCAGAAAGGGCCCAGTGCCCAGGGGAGCTGAGCGTGGAGCAGGCAGCAGACCAATAGCAGTAAGCCAAGAACATCAGACTGCCTGGGGCTGCACCTTGGCTTGTTTGCCAGTGCCTCCCAAGTGTTCCTATTAGCACATGTTAATCCAAGCCACCTGAAAAAAGGGGCCCGTGCCTCTAGGAGTGAAAAATGGCTGCATAATGCTTGGCAGTATATGATGATAAACCACTCTCCTAGACTCGGAAAGGTCATCCAATGCATCCCGGAAGAGGCCCAAGTATCTTCTACAGAATACATGCCAAATAACCACTCCCACCTGCCCCTTGTCTTTTCATTTTTGTGAGACTAAACACCCCCACTTCTGTTCTTCATACAACAGGGTTTCAAGACCCTTCATCACTCTGTTCCTGCTCCTCTAAATATAGTCCAGTCTGGATATTTTAGTTCTTACAGAGAGGGGCTGAATCCTCCCAATGAGGTCCGCCAGCTAATAAGAGAGCTGTATTGTCTTCTCTATTCCAAATTATGAAACCTAGAATCATTTTCTTTTTTTACTTCATTCTGAGAACACACTGTTGGTTCATACTCAACTCTCTGTTGGTGGCCCGGCGTGGTGACTCACGCTTGCAATCCCAGCACTTTGGGAGGCTGAGGCAGGTGGATCACCTGAGATCAGGAGTTTAAGACCAGCCTGGCCAACATGGTGAAACCCCGTCTCTACTAAAAATATAAAAACTAGCCAGGCATGGCGGCAGGTGGCTATAGTCCCAGCTACTCTGGAGGCTGAGGCAGGAGAATCGCTCAAACCCGGGAGCTGGAGGTTGCAGTGAGCTGAGATCGTGCCACTGCACTCCAGCCTGGGTGACAGAGTGAGATTCCATCTCAAAAAAACAAACAAAAAAAGAAAACGAACTTTCTATTGGCCAAACATATATTGTATTCACACATAAACTCAATCAATATTGTACCTGATTCTGAACAATCAGGAAGAGTTGGTTATGAAGGAAGAAATAGGAATATTGGGACAAAGCAATCTTTCAACTGGAGGCTTCAAAACAGCCAGGGAGAAAAAGCTGAAGGGTGGTGTTCTCACCTTCCCCTGTCATCTACTACATTTTTTTCTCTTGTCAAAAAACCTGAAAATGAGGAAATGAATCACCTAAGCTCTGAGTCAAGAAAATCTAACATCTCAGGTTCTTGGCAGGACATGTGATAACAATCAGGCCTCTTATAAGATACTGGCCCTGAGGGCCCTTTCTCTTTCCATCTCAGGAACTCAAACATGACCAGGAAGATCTTCACAAATACCAGGGAGCGGTGGAGGCAGCAGAATGTCAACAGCGCCTTTGCCAAGCTGAGGAAGCTCATCCCCACTCACCCTCCAGACAAAAAGCTGAGCAAAAATGAAACGCTTCGCCTAGCAATGAGGTATATCAACTTCTTGGTCAAGGTCTTGGGGGAGCAAAGCCTGCAACAGACGGGAGTGCCTGCTCAGGGGAACATTCTGGGGCTCTTCCCTCAAGGACCCCACCTGCCAGGTCTGGAGGACAGGACTCCGCTTGAGAACTACCAGGTTCCTTCACCTGGCCCAAGCCACCACATTCCTTAGTGTGGCTCTTGGCTGTCATCTCCCAGGGCAGCACTTGCTCAGAAGTCACTGCCTGTGGACAGACGTTTGCATGTTCCAGAGCTGACTTGATGATAACTTGTGAAGCATGAATTTTAGCTTCCTGGGAGGTGGCTCAGGCACAGCTGCAGGGAGCTGAAAAGAGCCATGAGGAATGTCACTTGTGGGCTGTCACCCCCCAAGATGTCAGGTAGAGCCGCCTACCTCTGCCTATTTTAAATCCAGGTTCTGAATAAGACTTTTGGAGAAAAAATTCTAAGTTAAAAAAAAAAAAAAGGTTGAAAATCACTGTTTACTCAACGTCTTCAGTTATAAGAAAGAAGTTTTCTCATAATGGATCTCAGATGAATAAGTAGAATATGCTTCCTTCAGAACATATTTTACAGTTTGTTTTGAAAAATGAGATTTGATCAAGGGTGAACAAAATAAATTTAAGATTGATGGGCTGGGCACAGTGGCTCACGCCCGTAATTCCAGCACTTTGGGAGGCTGAGATGGGCAGATCACCTGAGGTCAGGAGTTCGAGACCAGCCTGGCCAACATGGTGAAACCCCATTTCTACTAAAAATACAAAAATGAGCCAGGTGTGGTAGTGCTCACCTGTAATCCCAGCTACTTAGGAGGCTGAGGCACGAGAATCGCTTGAACCCAGGAGGGGGAGGTTGCAGTGAGCCAAGATTATACCACTGCACTCCAGCCTGGGCAACAGAGTGAGACTCAGTCTCAAAAAAAAAAAAAAAAAAAAAGTTTTCTCATAGTGGATCTCAGATGAATGAGAGTAGCAGCATATACTTCCCTCAGAACAGATTGAAAGATGGTTTTGAAAAATGAGATGTATTTGATCAAAGGTGAACAAAACAAATCTTACGATTGATGAATAGAAAGATAACCCCTGCTGAAACCAACCTGGGAGACTTGCGGGAAAAATCTGTGGCAAAAAGACACCTCTGCCCCCAGCCCTGACTAAGGTGTGGGGATTACAGGAATGCGGCAGAGATATGTGGAACGGTTCTGCGTCCTTTCAACTCTGTGAAAGTGTGAGGTGCTACTTGTGCTGAGCCATTTGTACATACGTGATTTCTAAAGTCAAATAGTGGATTATATCTGTGAGAGGAAAGGACTGGATAATTTATGTGTTAGAGCTCATAGTTTTCTTATGAAAAACAGTTAGCTGAAGCAAGTTAGCTAAAGCCTTCGTTTCACATGTCATGCATTAAAACGTTTCACTCAGCCTGAACTCCTGCTAATTTAAGACCTGTAAAATTCAATTATGATTATGAAAAACCAAATATTACCATTTAACGACTCATTTAACAGAGAGCTTAGTTTAAACAAAACATTTAGAGAAAACAATAGAAATGTAATACCAGACTCTAATGAACTAATGAATTTGTAATTTGTCTTCTTTGCTATGGAGCATTAGCCGTCTCCAAAAAAAAAAAAGTTTTCTCATAATGGATCTCAGATGAATGAGTAGCATATGCTTCCCTCAGCACAGATTTTAAAGTTGGTTTTGAAAAATGAGATGTATTTGATAAAGGGTGATCAAGCTTAGTCTTAGGCTGGGAGGACTGGTACCCAACAAGTCAATGAAATAGCATGGATCTGGCCGAATCCATCACCATATGCCACCCTGATGATACTTGGAGTCAAAGATAAATCCCATAGTTGAACCTGGAATACAAATAATGTCATTTGATTATCTCTGGGACATTTTCTTTCCCCAGAGTTCTTGACAGTACATTGGTTTTAAAACCTTCCGAACCATAGGTAGGAAATTGATGGATTTGAGATTAGGGATTTCCAGTGTATACACAATGGAGGAATTTAAATTTCCTGCCACTCAGAAGGTGTTTTACTTGTGAAAGGTTGAAATGAGCCTCCTTGGTGTGGTGATTGGAAGAAAGCTGGATGAAACTCTTACAATCTCATTCCCCTGAAATAGAAAGGTCATTATGTCATTAAACTCTATACCGCATTCGTACTTGTAACACAATGCATTTATCTGAACCAGTAAGATTTCCTTCTAGGCCCTTTATTTAAACTGCATTTTGTCAACTTCCCAGCATAGTCCAGGAAAACACACAATCAAAGAGATCAAAATGGTTTCCCTGAATGTGCATTTTTGTTCCTCACTAGCTTATGTGGACACAAGCTTACCCCCAAATTACCAGGTGATAGTACATTTCAAAGTTTTTATGACAGTTGTCAATTAACATCACTTACTCTCTTGTCTGAAATTAAATCAAAATAACACTTTTTACGGTATTTTTATATCAGCTTTGTTTTAACATGTTGCCAAGGAAAGCGTAGAGTATCTCTTTGCCTAGATATAGGATTTTGCCTCTCTACCCAGGATGAGTCCACTTTTCTGCTGCTGGGGCCATGATCTGTATCAAAGGGGGCCATGATCTTCTTTGACAAAGAGGGCCTTTCCACTGAAATGTAACAGAGTGCTCCTGAAAAGTCATGAGGAGATCAAGTTCTCATTAACCTATGTGAGGGGGATATCATTTAAAGAAATCTTGCAAATAATCCTATAATAAATAAATGAACCTTTAAATCATTAATTTATGTAATTCACCTCCTAAATGATTTCTTTTGCCTGCTTGCATTTTTGTGCACCAAGTCGTGTTTGGTTAAAGCGACTGTTAAACCAGGTGTGTTGGCATGTGCCTGTAGTCCCAACTACGTGGGAGGCTGAGATGGGAGGACTGCTTGATATTAGGAGTTTGAGGCCAGCCTGAGCAACATGCCTCAAAGAAAAGAAGGAAAGAGAAAAAAAGAAGGTGTCTGTCAAAAGGAAAATATAGTCAATTGTGGACCAAAACCTTGAGACTGGAAGCTAACTCAAAAATCATTCTAGATTCTTCTCTGGTGTCCTATACTTAAGGCTTGGTGATGCAGTAGCAAGAATTTATTATTCAAAAACATTATGGTTCACTAGATGGTACATCCGTTTATAGATCATTTGAGCCCAACAGAATAGTTTCAACAGATTATATAACTATGCTACTCTGTAACTTAAACAAAAGTGGGGGCGGGCGCCACGGCTCACACCTGTAATCCCAGCACTTTGGGAGGCCGAGGTGGGAGGATCACTTGAGGCCAGGAGTTCGAGACCAGCCCGGACAACATGTTGAAACCCCATCTCTAAAAAAAATTAGCTGGCTGTAGTGGCGAGTGCCTGTAATCCCAGCTACTCGGGAGGCTGAGGAGGAAGAATCGCTTGAACCTGAGAGGCGGCGGTTGCAGTGAGCTGAGATCGCACCACTGCACTCCAGCAGAGAACAGACTCCGTCTCAAAAAAAAAGTGTTTAGTCTGCTATGGACACCACTAGAAACTTCTAGAAACCGGGTATAAACAGGTCCATTGATTCATATAGATCATTTGATGGGCTAATGCCAGTCCCTCATTTTACGGAGGAGAAAATGGTTCTAGAGGGATTTGAAGTGACTTCCAGAGGTCACATGCACAGTTAGTGGAAACCCAGGACCCAGATCCAGGTCTGCAGACACTGTGTTTAGCCTTTCTAGAGCGCTGTTCAGCCACCAAGTATTTTAGGATTGAAAATGAAAAAGCACCTTATCATTATGCTAGTCTCTTTTCAATAGCATTCAGTAATCTTCTTCATATTATGTCTTTTTACTGAAATTCAATTATTGTACTATGTAAAATGTGATTAGATATATCAACCAAAGATTTTATTTGTTGATGTTTTGTGAATTTTTAACCATTGATTATAATTTGTTATTTAACTGTTAATTTATTGCAAATAAATTATTTAAGAAAAGAAATTGTTCTTTTCATTTAAAGAAAAATTTCATAAATTTACTAAGCACATTCAGCCCTTCTCTCATCTTCACAGCCACTATCCTGGCTTTGACACGTCCCCGCCACCTCCCACCAGCTCCCCCATGGTCTTTAGTATAGAAAAAAGCCCAGCATCACCTGAAATCAATCTTCTTCCTCTTCATGCCACTTTTCTCACAGCTCCATTATGGTCCTTCTCAAATCACAGCTGTATTCATATCACTTCTCTGCTACAAAACCTTCAGTATCTTGTCGACCAGATTGAGACAAATGCCATCCCCTAGCAAACCAGGCCCTCTGCAGCCTGGCCCCAGTGTGTCCTTCCCTTCACCCTTCACAATGCCTATACGTATTCTACATGCCAATGAAACTGCTTTACTTAAAGATCCCTGAACATGCCCACTCTTTGCTACTCATGACTTTACTCCTGTGATGCCAAATGCTTGAATTAATGCCCCCATTCTCACTTGTTCTACTCACCCCTCCACCTGTGCCAAATTCCACATGGCTGATCTTTTTTCTTCTGGTTGGAGTGCAGTGGCACCATCACTGCAGCCTCAAACTCCTGGGCTCAAGGGATCCTCCTGCCTCAGCCTCCTGAGTAGCTGGGACTACAGGTGCATGTCACCATACATGGCTAATTTTTATTTATTTTTTTATTTTTTGTAGAAACGGGTTCACTGTCTTGCTCAGGCTGGTCTCAACCTCTTGGGCTCAAGCAATTCTCCTGCCTTGGCCTCCCAAAGTGAGGGGACTACAGGCATGAGCCACTGCACCAGCCCATGGCTGATCTTAAACACCCTCTCTTACATGAAGTCCTCCTAGATTTCTACTACTTAATCTAATCTCTCCTTCCTTAGAATCCCCTTATGTGTTTTATGATCCTTACTTCTTCTACCTTATGTTATAGATATCTGTGTGTATCGTTTCCCCTAAAAAGCTAAAATCTACTTGAGTTCTGGAACAGTTTCTAATATTTAATCCCTACAGCAGCACTGCAAATGATCCCCACTTTCAAAATGTGAAAACTTATGTCAAGACTGGCTCTGTTAAGAGTACTCTTTTAGCTTTCTCTAAAAGATGACTTTGAAATGAAACTTGAACAGGCTGAATTCTTCTGAGAAACCCAAAGTCTAATACTCTTCTTAAAAGTTAGTTTCTCATAATTCCTATTCAAGGATACCCCTGGCAGCACCTGCCTTCTGAGGTTTCATCACCTAAGAATGGCTTGAGATGACCAAAATAAGTATAAATTATGCACAACTGGCTTTGTCCCTAAAAAGGCAAAAGATGAAAGAGCCTGGGAGAATGGACAGCTTAACTGCTGACCCACAGGCCAAAGGTTAGCCAAAAGTCACATCCTTAAATAAAAAGGTCAAAGATAAGGAGGAAATCTAAAAGTCCAATGGCAATGCAAAGTGAAGGATTTAAAGGGCAGGTGTTAGGAAGGGAATGCCAAGGAATGAATGCAGTTAAGGGATTACAGAAAGCAGGGACAAAGTCTCCTGAATGACACTTGCACTTCTGCGCCCATTAGAGTTTACTGTAAACAGAGAAACGCTCCATTTTATTTTCTCTTTATTGCTAATGACTTATCACAAAGAGATTCTGAAGAGCACTAGATTTATAGATA